TGTCAGTGCTGGGGAGGGACTTAGCATTCCGAGGGTTCAAAATACAAACCATAGTTGCTTCAATCGTCAGGTGATTTAGTTTGGCCTGAATATTCTGGTTGGTCGTCACCGAGCAAGGCAATATCATCAGGGCAGTCCAATGCAGTTGCGCGGTTGCATGCAAGAGGCTGTTAGACTGCTTGGACCGGGGTATTCTGCCCATGGCCTACTTTGTCCGGCGTCGCATACAACCGTGAAACCAAAGTCAAGACTTGGTAGACAGTGTGTATTCTACGAAAAGAGGCGGTTCCATTTACATTCCACTTATGGCAAACGTAACCCTCATCTTCGGCACCCTGGCCCTAACCATCGCGAACACATTCCGGTTGACCGGTTTGCTTCAATTTATCGTAGTTGCCGGTTTGTTAGCATCAAAGCAAGGCTTTCCTCCCCATTCAGTGGGCGCTCACTCGAGTTTGTCAGCCACTCATATCTTGCCTGTATTCTATATTTGGTCTTCTGATTGCGCGTCCTGTGTAATGTCCGTCCACGCTTCGACACGGCTTAGTGTCGTAACGCCGTGCCTGCTTAATCGCTCCGTTTAGCCTCCTAAGAGAAGCTCTACGCCAGGACCCCAGAAGCTTTCCAGACATCTCAATGGGGGCATTCTCAATCGCGAAATTGAAAAGAAACGGAAGCATGGAGCAACCCTACTTTTCACCGCTAGTGACGATGAAAGTCGAAGAGATCTTGTCGTAATTCCTCACTCTGTCATGGACATTGAAGTATAATGCTCGAAGAATGGCAGTCCATTTTCCGAGTACCCCATTCGTCTGCACACAACCTTATAAATCAACCCGATTGACCGGGTCTAATGCAAAAAGTGTGCATAGGGTCCGGACACCCTACCATACCTTTTCTCCATTCGTCGCATCGTTCCCCCAAATGTTCGCATTGGTCACGCTTGAAGCTGCATCACGTGCTTCATGTGACGCGTTGCACGTGTGCACTCGTGGACGTGAAATCACGTCGCGAACGCAGTCCATGAGTACGGCCCATACGAGTGCACACGTGCAACGTGTCACATCCCGAATGCACTAACAGCCATAATTAGTGTACAACGGACCACTGGGATTACTAACTGGTAAAGCGCCTTTGGTCATTGGGCTCCTTCGGTTGTTTCGTTGGGTGAACATCGCGTTAGAAATCATCATCTAGTCAGTACTAGTTCAGTGTTGTCGCTGTGGCGGATACGCCGACCACTGATGAGTTGCTGCAATGGTGAAACCACTTTGTCTCCTTTGGGTATATTTTGAACTCTAGAAACAGGAGGAGTCTGTGACCCGAATGCACGTTTCCGTCAGTTCTGCGTTGAATGTGGGTAGTAGCCAAACCCTATTCCACACAGTGCCGTGTTTCAAACAAGGTGCATCTGTAAAAGTGCTCCGATATAGCGCTTCATGCGAAACACTGGAAGGACTAACCAGTGGTCAACATAAGGGGGTCCTATACAAAAACTTAACGTGTCTTATTTTCCCGTTGTAAATAGTATAGAATGAAATTTATCTTCACGTTCACCTTGTTTCGAATACCTTAGATGAACGCTTACATAGCGGCAAACACATTCTCACATCAGTCCAAGTACTCAAGCATATGCTGTTAGATTTTTCTAATTGTTGTCTTGCTAACACCGAAAAGTTCAGCCGTCTTTCTTTGGCCGCTGCTTTCCAGAAAATGTAGCAGATTAATCTTCTCCTTCAATGTCAACTCTTTTAGCTCTTTCCTTCAGGCCACAGTGCTTCAATACACGTAATAGCCGATACTAGTTCAAAGCATGGTATGTAAGCAACATCTAAGGTGCTATTTACAAAACATTAACTACATACAGTAATAAGTCTTTACTGTTTGCGCTCTCACGTTAAAGTTCAAACGGGACGGGAATACTAGGGGAATCCTACAACTGCACCATTTTGAGGGCATAGTTGCTCCAGCATAGATTTATGCGAATCGACCTGCTATTTACGAGGTCAACTCGGCAGGCACACATCACATCACGATCAACCTGCCTTGCACTATACCATTTCCCGGCCAAGTTGTCCTCTTGGGCAACAGAAATAATCTGAGGGGGCATTCAACATGAGTCTACTCAATTAATTTGTTCCGTGCGTAGGAGCTGAAACGTCCCACCTGCACCCCTATGACTTAGTGCGTCTGAGGTCCAATTAGCTGAAGGCGAAGGGCTATACACTCACACCTACACACCTGTACAAGTGACTGGCGTACGCACGGAACAAATTAATTGAGTAGACTCATGTTGAATGCCCCCTCAGATTATTTCTGTTGCCCAAGAGCACAACTTGGCCGGGAAATGGTATAGTTGTCCCCATGGTGCCGGCGACGTGAAGTAGCAACAAGCCGTAATGGAATGAGGTGAAAGGAAACTAAAGGAAAAATAATAAACAACATAACCTAAGCACTGAAAATGAAGAACGATAACATTGAAATGAGGATTTGTACTGAAGGCTATGACATGAAGGGAAGGTTTGTGACTACAAGCCAAGCGTATCCAGTCAATGCTCGAGCTCTTACAGTGGATGCCAACACGTCTTCGGTAGGGTATTCCAAGCGGCCATTACTCCACCTGATAACCGGCTGTCAGGCCCAACCCGATCAGAACGAAAAGGGTGCAGCTCCTTTGATGAGCACGAAGGGTCGGCAGTCTCGTTGAATGGATGTCACGTTGCGCTCCTAGTAGTACATGTGTCGGCTCTTAGTCAAAGTCGAATGCAGCGTGTGAACGGTAGACAGTATACTCAACTTCTGACATGCTACAACTTTCAGAACTGCAGAAAGGTTTAGGTGTATGCATGCGTGTGCGCATGTCTGTGTAGTGGACGAATCAGAGTATGATAAGTGTAGTCAACACTAGTTAGCTACACACGTGACAGTGGAAAAAAGAAGTAACTCTGCGCCAGGTTGATCTGTCAAGATGCGATAGGTGAGGATCAGGCACGCCCGTCAATAGTGCAGCGAAAGGACGCCCAATCTGAGCAGTCGCACTGGACCGATGTCCGTCTTCAACCGTACACTGTCGTATTGCCGACCCCTAGGACCCGCTACACTACTATCTGTTACCGGACTGAGCAAGTAGGACAAGCCTGCACACAGTATTCCAAGTGAAGCTTGATGAAGGCTGCATACAGTCTGGCGAATAATTTACGTGTAAGGGTTCCGAATGACCGGCGAATCGTCTACAGCATCCTGAATCTTTTGCAGGCAGCTTTTGTTCGGTTTTCACTAGACTTGAAATTCGGTGATAGTGTAACCCCCCAAGTCGACCTGCTCAGAATCAAGCGGTACCACGTTTCTGCCTAAAATGTAACTCGTAAGTGGAGCTCTATTTCCAATGCGTAAAGTCGAACATTTAGAGAGGTTACTTGGCAGTTACCAGAAAACGCACAAGAACGAGGGCCTGAAAAGTGTCAACAAGAAATAGCGCGGCTAAGCGCTCGACGACCAGTATGGACACCAATGTCAATGTCGCTACAATCCAAGAGACTAATGGGCAGGTAAGCTCCAGATTGCGACCTGTGCAATGGGTGATCACATGTTCCAAAGGGTAAGTGTGATGAGTAAAGATTTCACACAAAACCTCAGTCAATTTGTGGACTCGAGGTACATACTGACACGCGTGAACATGAAGGGGGCGGGACAAAAACGCACACACACAACGGAACAATGGAACAATGGTATATGACGGGTAAAAAAGCATACACTTAACGAGTCCCGCAGGTTGGCAATAGAAATACTAACATATTGGCAAACCACATAAGTGGTTGAAGTAAGGAGCGTCAGTGAGATAAAAGGTAGAAGTATAACAGTTTTAGGAGGATAAAGTGGTACGACGCAAAACTGGCTAAGAAATTGTTATCGTTGGTGATGGTAGCAAATAAAAATGGAGTACTCACCGGTTCGCACAGATTTACGACCGTGAATTTGGGGTATAAATCCAAAGAGGCTGGTCAGCCTAAATATATACAAGCGTTTTCGTTCATAAAACAAAGCGCAGGGCGCTCAGTGCGACGTCCAATCGTTTTTTAAACGTATCTAATGTGGGGGCACAAACAACTGAGTTTGGAAGGGTGTTTCAGGGCCCGCAGACCCGGAGGGAGAAATAGGTTCTCCGACAGTCTAGACGACTGTACTGTTGGCTCAGCTTTAAACTGTTACCGCGAAGGTTAGTGTTCGGGCTGAGCTTCAAGAGGTGGCGGCATACGTGACTGGGATCGCTCAATATCTGGTACACTAGTATGAGGTATCCACGAAGTCGCCGGTACCGTCCGCTGAACACTCCGAGTATCTCCAGTCGTTCCTGGTAAGGAGTGTGGCGCAAGCCCTTGACGATTTTCGTTGCTCGACGCTGTGGGGTCTCAAGCGCTGCAAGGTCACGTTTTGGCCAGGGTTGCCAGGCCTGGATTGCATATTCGACGTGAGGACGCACGTAGGCATTCAGCATCAAAGAGAAGATGGATGGATCCAAAATTCCGAATGCTCTTCACAGGAGTCCAACGTGCTGGTTGCCCCTTTTAGAAGCGGAATCTGACTGTTTGGAACACCCGAGGTCTTCCTGTACCAGCACACCCAAGTCGCGTTCCTGAGCGGTGGTCTTCAGATCGTACGCCCCAAGCTTGTAGACGTGGACTTGTCGATGGCGTACACAGACGTACACAGAGAGTACGTGTTGCATCGTTAAACGTCTACGGAGCCGTAAAGTGCAGTGATTGTAGGTCAGGAGTTTTACATAATGCAATAGCCCGCCCTATACGAACGAACGAACGAACGAACGATCGTTCGAAGTCCATTGTACCATAAACCTTCACATGATCAACTTACAGGGGTTAAATTAATAATGACTTATGATACAAGTGGTCAACATACTACTTAAAGTGGTCAACTTCGGAGCTTCTACTCTACTTAAAACCATTTCTGACCGATGACCGACACGTTTTCGTTTTGCACAGTGGTCACGTGAATATCTGGACTATCTGTTGGACGTGTATTTATTCACACCTGAAGACATCGCACAAATCAGTGCCGTGTTCACCTGGAAATCTAGGATTCAACCAGAGTTCGATGAGAATGACAAGGTGAGTCACTATTCCCGGTTGCGCGCTAGGCTCTTGTCCAAACGATTTCTGCCCAATTGGAACCTTATGACATCCTTCTGATGAGTCACACTATCTGTGAATTATTTCCGATTCAGCTAGTTAGGCTGATTAAACAGTCCATTCTTTTGGAGGTGGTATTGCTGCTGACAATAAGGTAACCGGGTTTATCTTACAGCCTATCTCGTTTACAGTTGGTCCTGTTGGCCACCCAGCGTTTTCGAAGAGGACACTGCTGTGACCTGCACTCCGTTAACTCATTGACTCAGCCAAACTAATCTAACTATACAGAAGGAGCAATTCTTCTCTAACTAATCGAGTAGAACGCCTGGTACACTTCCTATAGAAATGGGTTCTTTCTCTTATATTACTGCTTTCCGACAGAAACCGTTATATTACTTAGCTCCACAATCTCCGAAAACCGTCATTTCCACCTACACTGCGAAGCGAACGACACTCGTGAATAAGTGTGGTTAGACTCTCAACTGTAGTAGATTGCATCAGAGGGCTTTCACAAACCAACATGACCGGTAGAAAGTGAACTTTTCCAGGAAAATTCATGAACGCCACATGGTGTCTCTATCTAATACCAACTGGCCTAATGGACTGCGTGAATGACTAATCCAAAACCAGTCAACTACACCCCACACTGTGTACTCATCTGATACGCTATCTGCTTACTTGAGATTGGTCACTCAACGAACATTAGGTATATTTTAAGAGCGTTTAAGTCTGTTAGAACCAAACAGAAACTCTTACAGACCATCTTGGGAGATCCATGAAGGAACATTTCCTTAAGGGAGAATTTGCAAATGCTATACATTCTGTTTGCTGAGAAAATGTGTACAAATTGAAGGTTCTCGAGATAAGTTATAAACACAGTCAGTTTCACAGGTTATTTTTGTCAATGTCTTTTATCTTCAAGTTCCACGGAATTTGGGCATTTGGGGAAACAAAGGCTGCTTGCAGTCGGAATTCCACACAATTTGGAGGTCATCGTGTCAGGGATGCTGCGCACGTTACTGCCCCGTGCTCTTGCACAAAAATCTTGCGATCAGTGTAACTGATTAGACGCGACAGCAGACAACTGTTCTCTTCAAGTTCATCGGGATCCGCAAAGTGATGCACGATCTATTTGAAAAGGCGATTACAAAGTGGCGAACGGCCTCCGTACAAGACTGAAGCACACTCACTGTTCTGTGTGCTTCAAGAGCATTCAGAACCGCTACCATGGAGGATTTTTAGTCTTATACCAATGCTATCACTGTCTGATTAAACGTACCAAGTCTTCAGGAATTCACATGGCTCAGCTTAATTGGAGGAAAGTTAGTAAGGATGATATCACTGTTTCATATAAAATAGGAGTGACGGTAATGAGGGATTGCAGCGTTACACTGTCAGTGTATTATGTGTACTTACTAAGCAGCATATTTGAATGCATTCAAGAGTTAATTGTGCTTCCGGTTCAAATAGAAATTTTATGCCGAAGCCAACGTAACAAGCTAACAGATAGCTGCGCTTTTTACATAAGATTTTAATACAACATTTGTGTTATCTTTGTGTGGAATGTTTGCCTTAACGCAGTGCACCTTTCAGCCCTACACGAAACATCACTCTGATCAACGTTTCCCACCATAGCTCCAAGAACGAATGCGAACGGTTGGCGAAGAAGCAGTTATGGCTCATCGCGAAAAACTGACCACGGAACTGAACAGACTACGAAACCGTGTAGACGAGTTCAATGATTACGGTGAGATCGATAGCGAAATGCAGAACCAATATGTTCAAGACGTCAGGGCAGTGCTGAAACGTCTAATGGACGCTGAAAATGAGCGTGCATGGATTAATAAGGAAGAAAATCTTTATAAGCTTCAAGTGACAAACTATCCAGACATAGAAGAGATTCGTAATCTAGCTGAACCGTTCCAGCGACTGTTCAGTGTGGTTGTCAAGTATAGCAAATCAGAAAGGAGGTAAGAAATTGCCGCTCTGTTCTTGTTACCGTATGCCTTTTTCGTCCACTGCTGGTCCGATGGAACCAGAGAATGCTCAGTTAAGACACAAACTTATTTTGCAATGATTTTGCGCTGGAGGATTTATGTAAGGCGATGACAGGATGACAACTTTGCCGAAAGGCAAGTGCAGTCTCGATGGTTATTTGGTTTTGTGGTTAAACTGCAGCAGTTTCCTACTTAAACAAGAAATACGATTGCGTCTAGTTTTAGCTCATCAGTGATGGATGCATTTTTCTTTCCATAGTGCCGCAGGCTGTTTCAATGAAGAAAATGCAACTTTTCTGATATTCCGAGCTATTGATTTTCTCAGGTACTCAAAAGGAGTGGTACCTCTGCCCTTGAAAGCTGTCGTTTCTATCTCTCACAGTCCTTTTGTGTTCGCGAACTAATTGGTTAACAACAATAGCGTCTGTTATGGTATACTTTTGTAGCTACACCCATTTTAACCATAAATGTTTTCGTATTGCTTTTGCCCGCCTGTGTTGTGTATTCCCGTAACCGAACCATATGAAACAGCTTACGTCTCAGGCTAAACTCAGGAATCGATGACGGAATCAATGTATCCCATTAATGGTACACAATGAAGCACTAGTTGACAGCATACATTCCTCGAGCGTTAAGTAGGCGGGCAGTTGTCGGCAGCCTGCGTGGATCATTCGAGTCATGAAAATAATTGAGAACGTGAAATTCACCTCCAGGCCAGTTTAAACGGTAATTCTGTCACCTCAGATGAGCTCAACTGAAACCGAACGTGTAGTGAAAGTATGAACTTCAACAATGTTTTTCCCATATCACAAAACAGGTGGTTACATGGCGAATTCGACAAGTTAAATGCCGAAGCTATTGAAGCCGAATTAGATGAGTACTGGCGCGAACTGTTCAAGCTTCAAAAGCTGTTCGCGGATAGAGTGAAAAAAATGCGTATGGAGCTCGATGAACGTCGAAGGAATCAGAAGAAACGTAGACGTGACGAAGCACGCGCGGCTGCCGAGGAAGGGAAGGATCCGGAGGCGGCCGCAGCAGTTGAGGCAGTTGCTGTGGCAGAACAGGAGCTGGAAGACGTTAAGCCGCCAGCGGCTTTGGATATTATCAAGAAAATACAAGCGCAGATGAAGAGTTTCAAGGTGGAGTTCACAGCTCATTTGATAATTTGGACGACTTATGAGTCTAAATTACAATGCATTCGGTCTTCTCATCACATTCAATAAAAATAGCAATTTCACCATTTATGAGATTATAATCCAATTTTTTTACTTGTGCTAGATGATACTACAGATTTGCCAAGTTTGCAGTAGTATGGCCTAAAGTATAAGCCTAAGAACAGTAAGCCATGGAATATCAACCCTGGGTGCATGACTGGATGAACTCCCACATCCGCGATTATGCTAATGCGCCAGTCGGGTCTACAATGACCACGCAGTATCGGTCACTGATAGATACCTGCACACATAGGTGAATAGATTCTGTATGTGACATGAAACTGCTACAGTTGACTTTATGTGCCAGTGCATGATGGATGTACTTGACACCGCTAACATTTGTCTTACATATGGAGCCACGGCACTGCAGTCTACCTCAACCCATTCGGGTACCGTCGAATTTCGTGCGAACTAACAACCATTAGGTACACGCACGCCATCTCACTTTGGTATACAATTTCTCAGGAACGCCTAAGTAGGAACATTCTGGAGCCATAGACTTACCGAAGTTGGGGTATATGTTCCCCAATAAAATCTTGGCTTAACTCCATCTCCTTGGTTGACAAACTCCGGTTCCGGATGTACCTGTCACTGTGACCTCCTTAGGACAGGCACAGGACACCTGCGCCTACCTAGGGACCATGGGTGGCTTGAGCCGCACCACCCACAGCTCCGGATTCCAGAAACCAGCCCCACATCTGTCGCACAGCCGTCCGCAGCAAAACACTAAACCGAAATGTGCCGAATCGGAAGCCTCCCACTGCCTGTTGGAACTGTGGTAAGTGGAACTAAGCGAAAGGTCGTGAGTACAAGAATGATCAATGTCACAAATGCAAACGCATTGGTCAGAGAGAATCCCGCTATCAATGATTCAAGAAAACACTAAGTTCAGAAGGACCAGATTCCAGCGTACAAAGGCGAAAGCGATCCTAGCCGCATTTCGCACAGAATTTGAAAGCAACAGAAAATTCTTGATTGTGAAACTCAACGATGTTCCGGTATCATTGCATCTAGCTACGTCGTTTGAGATCACCAGCATTTCTCGATTGACATAGGCTAAGCTGGACGAATCTCCAATCCAACCTGAAAGTCTCATGACTCAGAACGCATAGGGACAACCTTTGTCTCTAGACGGAGAAATCGTCTTTGAACTTTAATTCAAAAATTTACAACTCCATGGCACAATCTACCTAATTTTTGGGAACTGATTGGATTATGAAGCTAAGTCTATTCGACGAACCACTGAATCGTGTGTGTTCTGAAACAAACGTTATGATCAGCCATACTGCCTTACCGACTCATCCCAGTGGAAGCCCTCTCCGAATAACACGAAATGTGCTGTCTTCCGACCCGAGCTTAGACGCTGCATAAAAATGCAGACAAAACTCACTGTTTTCCCGATGCAAAATCGTATTTCGACCCAGATGTCCAGTCCCGTACGCCTCACAAATACTCGTGGAACAGGAATTTGTACGGCTACAACGCGCGGGTGTGATTGAACAAATTAGTTTCTTAGCATAGGCTGCCCTCATTGTTGTGGTCAAGAAGCCCAACGGTACTATTCGCTTGCGTGCCGACTTCTCAACTGGGTTAACTGCTGCTTTAGAACCTCATCAATACCCACTTCTACTACTCCAGGACGTGTTTGCGAAGCTGAATGAAGGAACTTACTTTGCTAACCTTAATTTCGCAGATGTTTAGTTACAATTTGAAGTTGAGCCAGAAAGCAAGAAGCTCGCTTACGATAAACGCGCATCGCAGGCTCTATCAATACAACCGACTGCCGTTTCGAATCAAAACAAAACCTGCAATTTTTCAGCAAGTTATGGACACCATGTTGACTGGCGTACCTGGGACCGCTGCATATCTAGATGACATTCTCATAATGGACCAGGCGCAAGGTGAACTGCTCTGGAGACTGGAGGAGGTGATGCTGCGAATCAAAGATTACGGTTTCCATTTGACCTCGGATAACTGCAATATTTTGGTGAAGTTCACCAAATTCCTGAGATTTATGACTGATCAGCAAGGCTGAAGACCAGATCCAGATAACATCAACGCGTTAGATCGGTTACCTGCACCAACACATATCACAACATTGAGACCATTCCTGGGAATGGTGAACCACTATGGTGAATGTTTCCCCTATATGCATCAGTTACGTCATGCGTTGAATCAGTTGCTGGTGAAGGATGCTAAATGCAGGTAGTTCAAACACTGCCATCAACAATTCGAAAGTTGCAGTCGTTGCTGAAGTCGGATCTACTACGTACTCACTATGGCCCGAAGCTGGAAATTGTCGTGACCACGGATGCTTTCACTTATGGAATAGGGGCCGTTATTTCCCATCATTTTTCGGACGGTTCATGAAAAGCTGTCACACACGCTGTACGAGCTGTTACGGTATCTGAAAAGAATTACAGTCAGATTGAGAAGTAAGCATTGGCCATCGTCTTCGCTGTTCAGAAGTTACACAAAATGCTGTACGGATGACGACTCACACCGCTAACGGACCATAGGCCGCTTCTCGCGATTTTTAGGTCAAAGAAAGGTATTCTGACATACACAGCCAGGTGAATATAGCGATGGGCAACATTGCTCTTGGGTTATGATTTCGCCATGAAATATTTGTCAACTGACTCTATCAAGCATGCAGACGCCCTACCAAAAATAATCGATGTCGGCAGACGTGAACCCGAAGACGCAGTCATTGCCGCAATCGCAGCTGCAATGGATGTCAGTTATATGACGCATGATGCCGTGAACTCCTTACTGTTCAATGTCAAGATGGTTCAGGAAGCCACAAAAAGTGTTCCGCTGCTATAAAAACCCCTGACCTACATTAGATATGACAGGCCATGGAAATGTCCAAAAGAGGAATTTGTCCAGTTTTACACGCGACGCGATTCTGTCAGGAATTGACTCCTGTCTGTTCTTTGCCGATCACATCATCATATCTGAAGTCCTGTGGAAACGCATTTTAAGACAACTCCACAGAGGTCATCCAAATTGTCCGATTGAAGGCATTGGTTCGCAGCTACGTTCTTTGGCCGCACCTTGATAACCAGCCAATGGACACTAGTCGTACCCGTTCTAGTTGCGCGTATGCTTACAAGCTGCCGGTAGGTACGACACTGAAGTCCTGACCCATGTCAGAATCACCATAGTCAGGATTCATGTGAATTTTTCCGGATCGGTTGAAGGAGTTCCTTTTCTTATAGTTGTCGATGCCTATAATGTTACACCAGGCGATCTGGTTCCTCAAAAGTACCATATCATCACACACACACACCTGACCGTGAACTTCACTCTCACCCAAGGGTCTACCGTGGTTTGCATGCATCAGGTAGACGCCTGTCTGACACATTCTCACATTAACCTATATTGTCGGCTGTCTTGCATGTTTCATGTGACTTGTGATCTGGTCAATACATTGTCTGGTGCGGTGAAAGTCCTCGTTCTGACGGCTCAACGCCCCATTAACCGCAATTATAACACTGGCGATAGAGATGGCTGACCTTTCACAGATAACCCAATTACCACAACAGCAGCACGATTACATCCAATAGCAACAGCTGGCTATGCTTCAACAAGAACAAAGACATTGTTATCCAAAGCACCCATTGAGAAACTGCCATCCCTAAATCTAACACCCGCCACAGTGCAAACCGAGTCCACTTCAGCTGGAGTGTTGGCAAAAGGAATGCATGATTTCCAATATGACGCGGAGAACGGCTTCACATTCGCAACCTGGTACATGCGCTATGAAGACACCTTTCTGGTTGACGCGATCACGCTTGATGATGCGGCCAAAGTACGTTTGTTGCTACGGAAGCTGGGCGCAAATGAACACAATCAGTACTGTAATTTCATTCTACCGAAACATTCCCGAGAGTGCGATTTCCAAGCGAATGTAGATGTTGTCACTTTCATTTTTGGTGAAAGGTCCTCAGTTTTCAACATCCGTTGTCAGTGTTTGAATCGGGTTAAGAATCAATCCAGGATTATGTTTCATACGCGGGCACAGTGAACCATTCATGTGCACGTTTCAAGCTCAAACAACTTACGGATGATCAGTTCAAGTCACTCATTTTTGTAGCTGGCTTGACCACTGCAGCTGACGCAGAAATCAGAACAACTCTGTTATCCAAACTGGACTTATCTCCAGATTTTACTATTCAGGACGTCACCGCAAAGTGTCAGCGTCTGGTCAACTTAAAAAATGACTCATAAATGTTGCAGTAGAGACAATTGACGTCAGAGATCGCGATGGTTGATTCACTTTCTACCCGAACACCGATAGATGTCTATAACACCGCACGACAAAAACCTCCATGTGTTTGTTGGAATTGTGGTAAATGGCATTTTTCCAGAAACTGTCCGTTCATCAATCACCAGCGGACCGCCTGCCACAAGAAAGGCCATAAGGAAACGCAATGCCGATCAACTACACGACATCCACAACGTGAGGATCAATCAAAACCGTTTCAACAACGCCGAATCAAATGGTAGCCTAAGGTGGTTTATGCAACTGCACAGGAAGGATTTCTTTCACTTCGTATGTTTATCACTGTCACTATTCATGGTCACACAGTGCGCCTACAGCTGGATACCGCATCTGTCATTACCATCATCTGCCGTCCGACATGGTCGGTTATCCGTAGACTGGTATTGTGCAATGCTACAAATACCACAAGGAGTACATCAAACAGTATCCTACAGCTATATGGTAAAATTTCATGTGAATATGTTTACAGGAACGATAAGCGAACCGGCGTCTGTCATGTTTCTGACAACCCAGGGTTAAACATACTTGGTATTGATTGGATAACCGCATTGAATCTGTAGAGTTTTCCTCTTGGCTCTGTGTGCGATCAGACCGAGGAAATTCTATCCGGTCCGGACATGTCATCACAGTGTTAGCA